TAAACTAATAAACTGACAAGCTGCGCAAAACCACGATCATATTTTGCACATGTTTTGCGCAGCTTGTCGGTGAACAACGGCTCTGTGTAGTTAATGCTGCTCCATGTGAAAGCCCGCACGTGATGGAGATTTACCGCTAATTACAGAATGGCTTTACTGACAAGACGCGTGTTAAATATCGCATGTGATTTATCGTGCAGCCCTACTGGATACTGTAGCTGTCTGTATTTTTGATAGTTAGGTCCAAAATATATTTTAAGCAAGAATGTGAATGCAGACACTTTAAAGGGGTCATATGATGCGATTTCAAGTTTTCCTTTCTCTTTGGAGTGTTACAAGCTGATTGTGCATAGATAAGATCCCTGAAGTTGCAAACACTAAAGTCTCAAAACCAAAGAGATATTCTTTATCAAAGTTAAGACTCTGCCACGCCCCCCTAAAATGGCTCGTTCTAACACGCCCCCACATATCTACCTCACTATGTGGAAATATTAGCATAATGGGAGGTAACTCTGACTTTGCTATGACAATCTGCCACTTCTGAATCAGCTATTGTTTTGTTATTAGTTTAAGTATTTGCTATTGACTGTTCAAATGCGGAGTTTTGTGTGTGAGAGAGAGAGAGAGAGAGAGCGTCTCATATGGTCACAGAGGCTGCATTTATTTTAGCAAAAAGGCAATAAAAACAGTAATGTTTTGAAATATTATTACAAAACAAAATAAGTTTTTTTATTTTAAGATATTAAAATTTTTTTTTTATTTCTGTGATGGCAAAGCTGAGTTTTCTGCAGCCATTACACCAGTCTTCAGTGCTACATGATACTTCAGAAATTATTGCTATAGGCTGATTTGGTGCTCATTTATCGTTATTATCAATGTTGAAAACAGTTGTATCGCTTAATATAATAATTATATTAATAAGCGTACACAATTTTTAACATATGATATATATTCATTTATGCATTCATTTATATATGCTACAGCAGTATTATTTTAATATATGATATATATTAATTTATACATTAATATTTAATATTAATATGCTACACCAGTATAGATATACAGGTGAAAATTACATAAAAATGTAGAGTATGACACCCTTAAATTGTTATCATTGGTGTCAGAAGGGGAAGGTTATGTGTTAAATGTTCGTTATCTTTGTCAGTGGTGTTGAAAATACAGGTCAGTCGGCTAAGAGATGAGAGAAACCTGGGCTCGGTTTTTATCGACCACGTACTCAGAAAAGCCGAGATGAGTGAAGTGCCTGGAAATGATCTCAGCGCATTACCACACACACTATTAAGACACTTACCATTAAAACAGTGATATGACTGTCTAGAGTTTGTGCATGTCAATATCCATCACTTAATGGAAGTCATATGAAACCCCTACTTTGTTTTCTTGAGTGAGCAGTTCAGAGTTCAGAGTTTAGACAAAGTCACTCCTTCATAGCCTGAGCAAATCTTTTAGATATCCATCTTTCATTAATATCCAGAAATGAACACTTCAGGTGAATTCCTCTGATAAACCACAAAAAAAGCACTGCAGATAAATTACAAGAATTACCAAGGTTTACAACTAACCCAAGCAAATGTCTCCATTTCTGTAACCGCTGAATTGCAGTTTTCCGTATTTTAGCAGCTGTTTCTTATATTACAGGTGCCTGATGTTTAATTACATTCTAAAGCTCCAACGGTCTGTCTGATACACCACAGATGCCACACCTGCTACCTATTGCCACGGCAACAGATGCCAATTTCCTTATTTATGACGTCATAAATTAATCTCTGTGAACTCCGGACCCAAATTTGAAGAAAATCTGCTCCTCTTTTCATTTTCAGACACAACACATGTGATCAAAAACAACACAGACAAGCGGAAATAATCTCAGTAAACAGCACGACTTGTGTCGTTCCGCCACATTACAGGAAAATAAACTTCTAGAAGTCTCACGAGGCCTTGAAATGCATTTGTTTTGTTTGCGAGAAGGATGTCATGATTCAATAGAGCAGAAAGGATGTCACACACAGGGTGCGAAATACGGGGGAGCTTGGCTCCCCTTAATAAGACATGGGCTCCCCTGAAAACGTGATTTGTGAAATTTTGGGGGGGTCTCAAAAAATACTGACAATGTGTTATTTTGACATGCAATTTCAGTTTTGTGTAATGTGATCATCGTGGATTATTATGTGTAAAATTGCAAAAATATCATTCATTCATGCATGACGGCGATTTAATAATGAAAATCACATGGAAACAGTGAGGAAAGGACCTGAAAGGTAAAAGTGTATTTTTTGCCTTTAAATTGCTTTGTTACAGTGATTGTATATGCCCAGTCTGTCTCCGAGGGCTGAGAACACAGAGAGAGACAGATCCAGAGGTGCTGATGGGAGGGAGGGAACGAGTCAGATCCTTAAAGGAAGGACAGAGGGAGGAAAAAACATGACCTACTTCTGTTCCATCCCTTGTTTCTATGGAGAACGAGAGGAGAGAAGTGGAAAAGTAGCAGGAGGGCAGAATGTGTTCTCAGAGAGAGATGTGGCCACAGAAAGTACTAACTAACTAACTTATTTATTTATTTTAAGTGAACTAGTAAGTATTATGCAAAATTAAAGTTTATAAAAATGTAGTATGCTACATTGTCACCTCAATTTACAATGCGTGTGAGTGGCATCTAGTTATCATATATATATATATATATATATACACACAATCACAGCCTCAAATGGATGTCTGGGGTAAGCAGAGTTTTGCACTCTCAGCAGTCTGACATGAGCATTAGAGCTTTTCAAGAAATCTGATCTTAACAAAGAGACTCACTAGACGTCATTTTATATGATTTTGGAGGCAAGTTTCTGCTTAGCTTGATGATGTCATCCTGCAGTTCCACCATGTTGGTCATAATGTGGTCACACATCGATCACCTTGATAAAACGAGAGAAGCGAGAAGAGTAATTTACGCACATTAACGTGTCACACACCTGCTGCGAGTGGGAGCTGTCTGAGGACACTGTGCTCATCATATGCCTCTCTCTCTGTTTTCTTCTTATCCTCTATCTCTGCTGAGGAGCATTGAAACTTCTCCAAGAAAAGGGACATTTCAGCTTTTGCAAAAATAGCAATGGCAAAAAGAACAATGTACCTCTCCATCTCTCTGCTATCTTTGTTCCACCCCGTCTCTCTTCTATCACTCTCACTTACGTTGTTTTGGTGTTCTTCCTTGTCGTGGCACATGTTCTGCTCAGTTGAAGAATGAAGACTGCTGCAGGAAGAGGTCTGCATTAACATAACAATCCCTCCAGGGGTGAGATCTGATTAAAGGCAGGGCATCACTGCATAACAGAGACACTGCACTCAAGAGTCTCACTCTCTCTCTCCCATGCCTTTCTACAGGCTTTCTAATAGTCATGTGATGTTTTTTATTCAAGCACTAGATCGGGTTGAAGTCATAGAACTGGGGCTTAAACCAAACACTGGTCAAGCATACCACTGTCTCACCAAAAACAACGACAACATCAAACGCTTTCTCCCAATCAACAGCTCAACAGATAATGATTGATAGTTAAAGAGTCAGATGCTTTTTGTAACAGTCACTACTACAGCTAAATATGCTAAAACTTGCTACTACAGCTAAATATGCTAACAGTTACTCGGAAATCTACATACTGTATATTTACTGTAACAGCCATAGATATTCACTACTACAACTAAACGTGCTTACAAAAGTCTGTAAAACAAAACAACCATACAGCTGCAGATTTATCAAAATAGCCACTACAACAGCTAATGATGTAGCTAATAATAGTAGCTACTACAGCAACTTATTCACTCACTTATTTATTCATGTACAAAAATTGTCATTTAAAGAAAGGGGTTAGACAATAGAAATATATTTACCATATATTAAGTCAATGAAAATACTTTGGGTTGGTACAAATTTTCATTTTTTTGAAAGAAGTCTCTTTTGCTCACCAAGGCTGAATTTATTTGATCAAAAACAAAGCAAAATTGGGAAATATCATTACAATTTAAAGGGGTCCTGTTATGCTTTTTCACTTTTTCAACTTTAGTTAGTCTGTAATGTTGCTGTTTGAGCATAAAAAAGATCTGCAAAGTTACAAAGCTCAAAGTCCAATTCAAAAGGAAATATTTTATTTAACAGAAATCACTTTTCAAAAACTACAACGAACGACTAGTTTGGACTACAACGCATATATTGATATCACAAATATTGACGAATGGGACGAGACCTGGTTGAGCTGCACTAGAGAAGGCAACGAGTGTTATCACTATGTCGGAGACACGCTAACTTTCCCAAGGCAGACGAACTTAGAGTGGTTACAATCATCTGGGTTTAAATTGCGCTTAAACTGATTTGATTTTGATGCAGGAACTACTCGAGCCGTTCATGTCAGACTGGGAGAGAGGTGTTGTAATAATGTAAAATATATGAAAAATAATGTGTTTTTCCCAAAACAAACACCCCCAAAACAAAATCCAGACTATGTAAAAGAGCATAATAGGACACCTTTAAAACAACTTTTTTAAAATACATTTTCTTGTATATTTTTATACAGTATATTATCAATATATATATCCTCCAGAAATCATTCTAATATGCTGATTTGCTGCTCAAGAAACATTTCTTATTATTATCAATGTTGAATAAAGTTTATTTATTTATTTTACTGTAACTTTGAGCAATTTAATGCATCCTTGCTAAATAAAAGTATGCATTTGTTTAAAGAATTTTTATAAAAAATAAATAAATAGGTATGCAGATTGTATTTAAAGACTCCTTATTTAGGCACGTCAATCATAAACATAACTCAGAAATTTGTCTGCTATAACAGGACACTTCCCGTTTTATAAGGTTGCTATTTGCCATAATCAACATACAGTAAACAAACCATACAACTGAACAAAGTGGGTTAAACACATGAAGTATCCAGTCAGACGTCAACATTCAAGCTGGAGAGGACTAGAGGACTTTAACTCACCCTGTTAAAGCGCTTGGCCTGGAAGAGGTGCCCGTTCACCCGGTACAGCTTCCTCCATCGTCTGGCTCCACGGCGGTAGATTGATTCTAGGAGAGAGAGGAAACGGTTGTATAGGAGCAGCATGAAGACTCGAGGAATGAAAAAAATCAATAAAAAATGAATTAGGGAAGTGGATTCAAAGAGCAGTGATAGAATAAGGGAGATGGACAGAGGTGTAGCTGGTCTTGACCCTGAACGTAGACGGATTTTGACTGCAACTGGATGAAAACCTGTCCCAAAGAAGAAAGCTATCAATCCCTCCCTCTCTCTTGCTCTCTTTTGTTGCATCCCTGTCTCCATCTAACCCACCCTCCTCTTCTCACTCTCTCGTTTCTGCTCTCTTGTCGTTCTGTTATTCCCTGCAGCATCATTTCAGTCACATGTCGACAGTCTCAAGTAAGAAGTGACAAGCATCTACACTGACCTAAATTGATTCAACCAGAACGAGACTCTGATCTGCTGTCTGGGGTTTTGTCTTTATGTGTCACCACCTTGAAAACATAACAATGACCTTTTTGGGAGGTTTCTGAGCTGACCTGATTGACCAAAATACTGACTGCATCTGAAAATTAGGTAGGTGTCCAAAATAGTGTGCCAGGGTTTCTCATGTCGGTCCAAACCTGTATGACTTTCTGCGGAATACACAAAAGATATTAGGAAGAATGTTTTTGTCACAATGAAAGTCAATGGGGTCCAAAACAACACTGTATGGACAATTTTCAATCTTTTATTTTCCCCCTTGACAGACAAAAGTCATACAGCTTTAGAACAATGTGAGAGTAAATGATGACAGAATTTTAATTTTCATTATCCTTTTGACCTTGAATAAGAGGAATCTTGTAGGATTTTTCTCAGATGGCCAAATCAAATGGTCAAATTTGAGTGTGCACCCGGCTTTACTGAACTGTAAATGTTTATTAACAAGTTGGTGAATGTTTGTGTGTAGAGTGAGGGTGAGGAGCGCACTCTCAGACAGCTCAGCAGACCATCAGTGCTCAAAAGCCATTACGTTAAGTACCACCTTAAAAGGGAACTTTGTTGATTTTCAACCAGTTTGTTTTGTTGCCATGTCTGTATTATATGTAAATGTGGATTATTTTTCCATGTCACCATCACCAAGATATCCCTGTTTATTTGTCAGCAAAAGTCCACCGGATGATGAAGTCCACGAAAACAACTTTTTGGATAGCTACATGGCTACAGATTGCACTTTTTATCCAAAATATTATATTCTGATTGCGATTAGTGCATTATGGGTGTTGAAGTTTTCCTACCTTTTTCACCACAGAACTTTTGCTCTGTTTTCTATAGTTTCGTGGCACCAATTCAACACCGATTGTGAATTTCTACTGCATAGACAGTCAACTTTTATTAAAACTGTCTTGCCAGCGGTGAATCACGACAACTTAAATTTAGTGCACAAGTCATATGGACCACTTTTAAGGTGTCAATACACTTCCAGTGAAATTGAAGCACAAACTGGTTTGACATCCTTTTGAAGAAAATCAGGCCCAAAAAAAAGTTATTTTGGAGTTCACTTCAAAACAAAAAAAGTTATTTTGGAGTTCAGTTTCTGGCTTTTTAAAAATTGCTTGCAAATCTCGTATTATGCTATTGTAACGGGGCTGACGAGACGTGAGACATGTGGATCCATCTGCAAGCTTTATTTAAAGAGACGTGGTATAACAGGCAGG